GTCAAGTGCCTTAGGCACTATGCTACCAGAAATCCCTATTAAATATTAGCAATATTTATTGTCAAATGTTGACAATAATATAAAGTACCACCAAATTAATACCAGTTATCATTCTGGAATTTCTATCCTTTCACAATTTTTTGAACAATATATGATTTTAAAATATGTGAGTATGTTAATAGTACAGAGATCAAAACATCCTTTTAGCATATTTACAGTACCACCACTCTGTACTGATTTAAGAACATATTATGATAGTTCAAATGAAAAGTGATAGGATTTTCAAACTAGTACTGAAAAGAAGTACCTTTTTTAAAAGAACCCATAAATCCTTGGTGTGTAGAACTACTGAGAAAATATATTTTTCTTTGTATTGCCTTGGGAGTCATGTCCCGGTGAATGCCATGAGATTATTCACTTTCTCATTAGTGATAGGCTACCTGTAGATATTTGACATTTCCTTAAGCATTTACCTTTATTGGCCTCCAGGAGTGGCCCTTTACTCGTCATAGTGAAACAATGATTGGGAATGTGCCAGGGAATAAGTAAGTGGGAGACAGACTTAATCAACAGTCATCTTGGCATAACAGCCTGGAGGATGTCCCTAATTTGGGAAACAATTTTGCTCTGTAAGAAAATCAGACTTTCTGTATGTCACATATGAGTTTTGAAAAAATTTCAGATGTAAAATATTTTCTAGTGTTTTAATACAAAGAAATCAAATGCAGAGTAAAGATCAATAAAGTGAAAAAAATTATTTTCTTAACTATCTGAACTTGAATAATTGTGCTACTCTTGAATATATTTGATTTTCAATCATCACTTTTCAGGGTGTTTCTCTAGGAAAAGAACTGGAATTTTAAAGCTTTTTAGTCTGTGGTAATTATGAATATCAAAATTAAAGGTACTGTGATGTCCATAATGTTGGAAAACAGATATTATGATTTTTTGTGTGAAGTATTTTCAGGTCATTCGTTTGAATTTTTCTTGTGCCATCAAAGCAAACGTTCCTAAGGCAAGCTAATGATGTTGTTTGTCAAATGAGAGCATGCCTATCAATTTTATCATGCTAAAAATGTCCTTTAAAATATCTGAGCAGGTTTCTTTGTAGTTTCTCTAAGGATAAAGTGACAATTCTGCATTTCCACCTGGAGTTACAATTATTTGATGAACGAAGCAATTTCTAATAAGACTTATTTACCCAAATGGTATTTATTTCAGAATATTTAAAATAAGATCAATTTCAACTGTAGAATATTAAAAATTACCCTGTAAAATATGTGGAAATTGACTTTTGTTGATGCCATAGAATGATGAATAGCAGTGTCTTGCATGTATGTTCAGCTCTGATGATGTTAAGTGTTTGTCCTCATTTTCCTCCTCAGGTACTTTCCCAGTTGTATTTTAAAACTTTCCTAAAATATAATATGAAAACATAATGCATGTTATTAGTTTAGCAACAGGAGGTTAAACAAATGTATTTCTTTTGGTTTATGTTTCTAATAAAAAGTAATTTTGATTTAAATTAGCACTATCTTTTTTTTTAGGCCTCCATTCCTTTGAAGGAATTGGAGCAGTTTAACTCAGATATACAAAAATTGCTTGAACCACTGGAGGCTGAAATTCAGCAGGGGGTGAATCTGAAAGAGGAAGACTTCAATAAAGATATGGTAAATTGGTTGTGATAAAAGTGTGAATGAGTTAGGAGTGAAAATGAGTTAATATTTGGAAAGAAATTAGATAACTCAAGTCTCCAAGTGAAGTCTGAGAACACACCTTGCACATTTGGCATTTCAAATGCAAAGTATTCTTGTGGACCCTTTATTATTCATGCAAGGTAGGAGGATTTATGGATTTCAATAAATAGCTCAGCAGTTGGGTTTTGACCTGTGCTATTTTCAAATTCCCAGGACAGTATTTCAGAGAAGGGATAATACCTACAATATACGAATTATATATGAAAGTTTACCATAAGGTGGTTTTACCCCAAAGTTGAATAAACAGTTAGTGAGTCGGGGCCGACTCGACGGCACATAACAACAACAACAACAACAACAACATGTCTAAAATATGTATAAAATCATGCTGCTTATTTCATGGAAGTAAAGAAATATGGCCACGTGGGCTATTCATAACCTCAGGATAATTGCCATCAATCCCAATTAATTTCAGAATGTCTTTTACATTTTCCTTCTGGCTTGAATATTTCTGTATCACATCCCTTTTCACACCTTTTTTCCTCCCTCCACCCTCCTTTTCACATTTTCCTTTCCTCCCTTCACAGCCATCACCTCTATGGCATTCCTAACCCTTACATGTATCATTCTAGCGTCTTCTCTCATAATGGTTGTAAACATCAGAAAGTGAGCTTTAGAGATAACAGGCATGTAAGAAGTAAAAGACTTATTTCCAACTCTCTTAGTTCCCACTGCTACCAATTCTGACTTCCTGGAGCTGTCTGAATCAATATTCCCCATGTATGGGGTTTGGTGGCCCGGCCACCTCAGCTCGTGGAAAGAAAGAAAAGAAGAATCTTTCTAAGATGCTGAGTTACTACTACATTCAAAGAAGAAACCAAAGGGCCCTAAAGTGAAAAAGAGTGTTGCTTCCATCTTATGCTGACCACCAGTCCTGACCTAGAGCTCTCACCTGGTGTAGAGCAAGAAGTGAAGTGGGTTTTGATGGTTTATTTTTTGGCCTCAGCCATAGAAAAAGCTGCAGACATTTTACAGGCATATTAACATAAGTTAGTCTTTTCACAGACTAGAAATATGTCTATGTTACATTGGGCTATACATTTCATTAGACTATTCATCAACACAAATTACATAATAATAAACTTATCCCCTCTAAAAGAAATAAACCATTCCTCAGTTGTGTGTTGAAGTTTAAACACACATTATGTATTTACACTTGGAGCATCTGATCACAAAGAAATTATGCACACA